TATAGTGGAAGACATAGATGCTAAGTAGGAAGATACAGTGCGTCTTTTAAAGATGTTAGCTTTCACGGACACTGAAATGATTATTGCGGTGGGCTCCCGAAAGGTTAAAAGAAGCGGTTGATTTTCTAGTGATAAAAAGTTTCGGCATACCCATTACATTTTTAAGTAAAAATTTATGTTTACTCATCAGGCACACAATTCAGAACCAGCTTCATTGAGTGTTTTTTACAACTTAATCCAATTTGTGCATAAGAGCAATGTTTGGATGGGAAACAGGGAAGGATGTCAACTATTTCTGTCCAGTCATGTTTTTCATAATGCCCTAGAATATAAACTTAAGGCCTTTTGAATGTAACACTTTTTCCAAAAGGTCACAATTAATTTAAAATCACAGTCTATGAAAATTCGAGAACTTCTAACTGGTGCTTACAGTAAATGCCATTGGAGCTTTCCACAAATGTCTTCAGGTTTTATTTTAGTCGTTATTTATTAATACTTCTTTGTCTGCTTTGAACTATGGAAACAGTAGTCGTACCAATGTTATCTTCCTTTTCACCAAATAAAAAAATTGTCACTGCGATAATTTTTAGCATCATATTGCTTAATTATTTTAAACAATTAAGATGAGCTGTAGTTCAGAATTCGCATGCCTATAAAGGCAATTTTCAAACTTTATCTAAGAGGGGATAAGATTAGATCCCACGTCGCTTGAGCCGCAATCCCTGTGATGCACACAAATGTAACTTCATTTAGACACAGGGTGGAAACTAGGTCTATCGAATCAAGGAAATGTATGTAATCTCACTTTTGGAAGATAAATCGTGCAGTGTAGTAAAAATGACGCATTGGCTTAACTTGCATGGGATAATTATGCAACCGCGCTTCACGAACTAGGTTAACAAGTATCTATACAAGATGCCGTTTCGATCTTAAATATGATTTTCGTTTTCCGCGTTTTAAAATTTCGTCTGCCTCAGAAAATGTTATTTAAACCAGCACCAACATTATTAGGTTCCAACATGAGAAGAAAGATTTGGCTGGAAAATACCAAAAAGTAACTTTATAATTTGTAACTTTATAATTTTTATAATTTGTTTTATGTTCGGTATTTGGAATATCTTGAGCTGAACTTGAGGAATGCATTAAAAAACCTAAACGTGCATATCATTCTCTAAAGCAAAAGTAGAAAGCAATTTCGTAGTCATGCGGTCAGTACACGTGATTACCGTATGTGTCCAATTCTGGTTTGTTGATTCCAATTTCAAACAATTCTCCTTCTTTACACATCTGTTAAACCACAAGTTTAATTCCGAAAATGGTGTTTAATCCAGCCAAATTTGAAAGCTTAGGCTTAAACACTCAGCTAACTTTAACAACTCCCACCAAGATGACAAACAGGCGTGCCTCCCACTAAAACGTGTTAATTTTCTCTAGACCGTTTCTTTATCAATTGGCTGCCAGATTTTAAAATCCTTGTTGCATTCTGTGTGGGCACCTTTTCACTCATGTAAATAGCTGACAGATGCCATAAAAGCCATCAGCTAAAAAATTCCACGCAGTCAGTAGAGCGTGATTTATTTACAAACTTATTCATATAATTTACAGCGTTTCGATATTAGCATAGTTGGGGAATAAGGACGAAATGCAACTTTGACAATGTGCTAAAATTAAATTTTTCGGATTTTGTTTAGAGTAGTTGCTGTAATGCGTTTTCTAGCCAAACAACTAACTTTAAAGCACTTGTGCTAAAGTGACATACGTAAGATATATTGTGTAGAAGTATTGTGATTCTACGCAAGCAGTCTTAATTTTAGGCCCTTAGCTGCAAACTGGAGATATCGGCACTCCTGTTCTAGCAACGTGTTTCCCAATGATCTTTCACACATTCTTTTATGTATTTGTTTTGCTCTGAACTGAATTTTGTTGACGCGCCTTCTTCAACACACTCAATATACATATTATTTAAAAGCTTCAAACTTCAATTTTGTGTCGAAGCTGAATGGATTCACATAGGCCCTTTTGCGAATATTTCACCATAACCTGATATGTAGGTAGCTAATCAGTTTTTCATTCCATGAGCGTGCAGTATTTGCCACTTCAATTACTTTGAAAGGATGTAAGTTTTTCTATCCAGGAACGCTTATAGGAATTTCACCATTTTAAGTCTCAGAATGAAAAAAATGTAGGATTTCAAAACACTATTAACTAGAAATCAGCCTCTGGAATCCTCCATTCCACCTAAAAATATACTGAAAAATAAAGTAGAAAGCTATTAGCAGTTGCGATTAATTATTTTCGAAAAACAAATTTGTGAAACATAAGTTTCTCAAGGACTGTTTGTAACTCGAATTGAGTCAGCCCATTAAACACTGTATTTGTTGTAAACATCATTTCTTAAATCGCAAGATGTCTCATAGCAAACTCATGCCATAATCTGAAGTCTAAAACCTTAATGTTACAAACATTTGTTTTCAGCTAAGTTTATCCAGCAAAGTTTTGTGTGTTGTATTTTAACTTAGTTGCTGGCTTAATCCGTTCAGTCATCGCAGTGTGCAAGGCCACCTCAACCTACTCACAACGTTTTGATAACAGCAAAAGTACTTCCACCAATAATTAAGTGTCAAATTGCCACAGGTAAAATATAAATAAAATGGGTATTATAATTTATGCTAGGTTTGCCCTGTGAACACTTGGTTAAATTATTATTGCATCGACTTGATGTTATTAATTTAACTGGAACGTAATCTGTAAAGTAGTTCACCCCAATCGCTTCGCTGAATCTGGTTGTCATGTCAGAGAATTTATGGTTGCATGGTCGGATTTCTAGGCAAGTCGCGTGCGCACATTCATTAACATTTAACGTTAGTTTTAACGGGTTAAAGATTAGTCACTAAATACAACGCTTTGTTTGTGACTACGAAGGCATAAGCATTTTTAACGCTTAAGTTTCATTACCTTCAGCCCAAAACATGCTTAGGGACAAGTGGGGCCATGCAATCCTTGGAAGTGTAGCTTGACTCCCCACAGTACGCTAGATTGGACTGCATTCTAATACATTGTCCTTTGTTTTTTAATCCTCCAATCTATTTTATTCATCGCCAAACATTTTACCTAAATCATATTCATTAATCTCATACTCACAGTTACAAGAACAGTGTACCTTGAGCAGTCAATATTTCTGAACACAATAAAACAGTAGCCATCATCATAATTCGCGCTAAATTTCACAATGTTTGCCACTGCTACAAATTACTTGTTTCGTAAACTCAGGTTTGATAAATTTATGAAGGTTAATAAGTGTAGCTGCTGTCGCAAAGCAGCAGTGACTTCCCCTGTCACTCTCTAGGCCTTTTTGGTGGACTGCAATGTAAGCTGGTGCAAGTTTCCATAGTGGCACACAGAACCAGGTCTATTTAGACTCCGCTAACTTCAACCTTGAACTAAGAATGGGGATCTCCTAACTTAGATTCTCTTCGTTCCTATTATTAGGCAGTCACCAGCTCGATTCCCAAAACATACGCCATATAACAAAACAACGTGTATAATGAGAGTTAAAAATTACCACAAATGTATTCCTTAACAAGAATTTGTTCCAATAATTATAGATTGTGTGTAGTTAAGTATTTACAGACTCCAAAAACTGTTTTTACCCCTGAAAGATGCCTAAGAGTGCATTTTGTACGGCAGTCAACACATATTAACCATTATGCAATTTGAGCATGACACTTGTTTAAAAGACAAATAAGGATCGCAATGCTGCTTTATGTACACAAAGATTATTTAAACAAGTGAAGGAGGTTACGACGGAATCAAAGTCAATCACTTCAACTTACAACGACTCGGCGCTCTCGTCGTCACCTCCGGATGGTCTTCTATGGTGTTTATGGTGCTGTTTAACTAGAATGGATTTCGGAGTTACCAAATTGGAAGAACTAGAGAAAGGGACTGTCTCTTTTATTCTGGAATGGTGCTGCTGGTAACTGCTGGAAGTATGTTTTGGTGTGCAATAACTAGCTGACTGCCTCCCAAGGCTTTCTTCGGGCTTATAGTGGGCAGAGTATCGGCGAGAAATCATGGTAGTACTCACACCACTCCCTTCTCCTGCTGTTATAACAAGTGGCTGTCCTATTATTGTTTGCGTGGTAAAACAAGATCGTTGTTTTTGACAAGGATGATTAGAATTACAGGAACGGTCATTTTTGTTCTTCCAGACTTCAAACAGCACTGATTCTGGAGCTGTCATGGCTGTTTCATCGTGGCTTAATGAGCCATAACTACTAGAACGCTTTTGTTTTGTAGCAAATCCTGCCCTATTAAGGGACATCATTGAGATCGGTTGCTTGCCGCTAGGTCGAGAATGTACTATATAATCTGAAGAACCCGAGTCAGAGCATTCTTCGGCAGGGCTTTCAGTGACATCTGAAGAATATTCCTCAAAATCTGCCCCTACATCAGCTACGCTGTCTGATGATGTTGTGGAAGCACAGCTGCTGCAATAAGGCGCATCAAGAACAATGTTCTGTGATTTCTGATTTCGTCCCGGAGATTGACTTTTTCGCGTGAATGTCATTGAGATACTTTTTCTTTTTATCAATGAAGACATCAGCTGTCCGTGAATGGGACAATAAGGAATGGTTTCACCATTTATTCTCGATGGGAGAGTACGATATCGGGCCTGTGCGGAAGTATTGCTGTGGCTTGAGCCTAGTGACTCTCGACGGGCATTGGAAGTGGATGGGGTGTGATAGCTTGAGCAATTGGTCTTATTCCTTCTAACCTGAAGAGATGAAGAAGACCTTGATCTAACAGTACGGCTCGGTTTTCGAGTGTACGAGATAGAATCCCGTTTAGGAACATTTTTTGAAGAAATACTAGCTGGACTTCCATGAACCGGACAAGATTCAATGATCGTGGAAGTCTCTGGCTGTTTCTCTTCTGTGTTAAATAAAGTCGAACCGACCCCGTGTATGGGACACGTTGTGGAAACTAAAAAGGAGTTATTAGTCGTTGGTACAGCTACGCCGTTTGATGTGTCCGTAATCTGTGCGAATAAGTGACCAGGAAGTGGTACTGTCCCGCAGCCTCCAGATATTGGCAAGTGATAGAGGTCTACATAGTTTGCAGAATTATTTGATGGACTAGAGAATCCTGTAGCCACCAGCATTGTTGAATGAGGTGGTGGTTTATATACTGTTGATGATGCAGGCTGAGACAGGGCAGTAGTTGTTGTAGTGGCAGTTGATAAAGAGACAAATTTTGGAGAAGCAATTCCAGTGGCAATACCATCATGCAAGCAGGCAGATGGTATATTCTCCGAGGTAGTTGGACTACTTATACCTATGTGATTACTAATGCCGGGGTTTGAATTAGCGAGGTTCGGGTCGTCTTGATGTCCGTCTGCACTAACGACACTTTTCATTGCCACAGGTGAGTCTGGGTGAATAGTGGCGACACGAGTGCCGATCAACTCGCGAGCATCCTCTCCAACGTTAGACATACCGATTCCGTATGCATTGTTTCGTTGTAATCTAGCAGCACAAGCACTAACAGAAGAGTTTTTGTCAGTTCCATGACTACTCCAGCAACAGAAGACGGTAAGTGCAATTGCAGCCAAAATAACAAATATAGTCGCAACCCCAATACCGGCATAAACAAGATTTTGACGCTGCGCCTCGCTTATTTTAGACATTGATCTTGTGCCGGAAATTAACTTTACTGATACATTAATCGAAAACTTTTGAGTAATGCATCCATCTTCAAGGCAACATTCCCACATCCCTGCATCCTCATATCTGACCTCAGAGATATTCAAATAAGATGTGAAGTCGAGGGAGCTCGTTTGTGAAACAGTATAACGGGAAGAATTCAATAGAGGTAAACCATTCCTAAACCATACAACAGTTGTTTGCGTTTCTGTATATCCATCACAAGATAGTGAAATATTTGACCCGAGAGTTGCGATCACGTGTTTCATTTTAGAGTCAATCCACTGTTTGCATACAAATTCTTCCGGTTCTATGGCCTCTCCTCCAGGTGGGGCAAAAATAAGACGTCGCTTTACAGCATAGGGCGATTTACAGGTGGGTGTCACCAAATTCGTAGTCCCAAACTTCGTTTTCTGCTCGTAGGAAAGTTGCATAGAAGGAAGGCTATCGGCAAGGTACCACTCCCTAAGCCATCTCAGGTTACAGTCACAGTGCCAAGGATTGCCACCAAGTTGGAGTTCTTTAAGTCTTCCCATTTTATTGAAAACAACCCTAAAGTCACTGGATAGTGTTTCCAACCCACTGAAAGACAGATCTAGAATCTGGAGGTTTCGAAGGACTTCCAAGACCGAGGCCTCAATACGTAGTGGGAACTCATTTTTTGTATGGCCAAGACGAAGTTCAAAAAGGGATTTACCCAGTGAGGTGGGAAAGAAATTGCCTGGGATCTGTCCCAGAGGATTTTCGGAAAGATCCAAAACCTCTAGTGCTGGCAAACGATGAAGGGTTGCAGGAAGGAAGCTGTTTTCATCCAGCCTTAAAGAATTATTTCGCAGACTCAAGATTCGAAGACGGTTCAAACCCTGAAATACATTTAATTCTAATTGCTCTAGTTGACATGAGTCCAAGTAAAATTCTTCCAGGTACACCAACCTCCTCAATTCTTGGTTATCCAGCCGCCTAATTTCCTGCTGAGTCACGCGAAGACTTATGAGCATTTCGGGTAAGTCCGGAGGTACTTTGGTCAGAAGTGAGCTGTGGGAATCGCAAACAGCTTTCTTCCATCGCAAGTCAGGCTGAATTGCAATCACTGTACAACCGCGAACAGCAATCGTGGTTTTGGCAAGCAAGAGTAGGGAAAAAGCGATACTTCCGATGTTCATTTAATTTGGGGAAGGCAACACTTAAAAGATGCTTTACCTTTCCATGTTTTGCTGCTTGACGGAAGTTTCTCTAAGTCTGACTTTTCAAAACACTTGGTTCGCACACAATGACGAGGTAGAGGAGAAAAATGAGGAAGAGGAATCAAGCCACAAACGGCTCATTAATTACCGTGCGGAACACGCATATGCGCGTAAACACACACGCTTGTGAAGCAAAGGAAGGAATTTTGCGGAGCCAATGCGCTGTACAACCTCTATCTCTCCCAGGACTGGCATCCATGTGCGTGCTTCCACCGCTAGGGCAGGCACGGTTTGTGAGACAGACAGGCAAAGGAGCACGGACAGGTCTAAGCCGGATTGCTTGCCAATTTAGGATTTCCCAGCCATGCTCACGTACCCAGCTGCACGTGCGGCGGTAGTAATGTGTTTACGCATTTTCGCGTCCACTGAGTTTTCCCTACCTCCAATTGGTTGACCTATAGTGCGCCTTATTGACTTGCTACGACAAATTTTCACCTGCACCGCATGCGACGTGTCAGTGAATTCGTGGCTAACCCACTCCTTATGTGTCGTCTGTGTTGTTCCAATATTTAAATTTGTTTAATTAGTTTAATATTCTGAATTCGGTTTGGAACAAATGGAACCGTACCCAAGAGAATTCGCACTTACCTCCATTCATCCTTTTCTCGGTCTTAATAAAACAGTTCAATTAAATCCGGATTCTGCAGGATACATTAGGCCAAACATTTAATGTAGCAATTTCCAGGTGACAAGTGATATGCAGAAAAGATTGTTTACCACTTCCCGATGGAGGATTATAAGAGGACGTTGTAATACGCTCCTTTTGTCATTGAATTCGCTTCGATAATCTCATATGACCAGGTAGACCAGCTAAGAGATTTGTTAACCTCATGTAGTTATCACAGAGGGAACTTAGAATTTGATTTAAGTGCTTAATTTTGCTTTAGGGTATTGGCAAATATATCTGAAGACAGTGTGGGGTTACGTTGAGTTTGTGCTTTACGATTATCGTACTCATCACCCGAAAATTCAGGTTTTATGAAAACTAAATCGCAAAGTGATGCAGGTTTCACCTTAAATAATCCTAAAATTTGCACTTTACTGTATTTTTATGCGAAGAAAGACCTGAGTTACTTTGCAACAGTATGTTCTTTTCAACAGCACGCGCTGTTATTAATGTTGGAGATTGTACATCGTGAACATGAGTTCACACAGATGATGGCATTTGCTGGTTCAGACTACTTTAGTGCTGAGATATTTATATTTTCATCTGATACTAATGAATTACCGAAATGCGGTCGATTTGAAAGATTTCATTGTGGGGCAAATGGCTAGAGAATAAGCCTAGTAAGAAACTACTATCCTTCTTCATAGTGTTCATCTGGGTGTGGCAAAGGTAAATTCCCTTTGAAAATTTTGTTTATTTAAAACAAATAGGGATATTTTACATAAAGATTGGCAGTCATTTTAATGAGATTAGTTCTTGTGAAGAACTTAAAAATGTGTTGCCTCTCCAGGATCTAACTTAGGACAAAATTTACCTGAGATTCAATTTTTTTAGCAATGACGACAAAGGTATACAAATTCGCTGTGCCTAAATGACCAGGAGGCACTTCATGCCCATCTCTCACTAGCCAAAATATTATGAGTGCCACAAAGAAAACTTTAGGAAGTGCCAGTCAGCATTTAATTTTTCAAATTAACGAGGTCAGTTCTTTCATAATATGAACGATGGTGGAAGTACATATCTAGTTTACATGACTTAGTAATTTCCCGAATCGTTTTTCACTGGGAGCGTTTAATAGATAGGCGTTGGCCCAGAGGCATACAGTGGAATGATGGATAGTTTTGACTGATGATGGATTTAGTACAATTACTAATCCATTTCTCCATTCGTTTAAAGCAGCCTAACATCTAACTTGTTACCATCTGACAATCATATTTTACACGTTGGCAGATTTCCATATCGCTTTTTGACTTCATTTATGTGCTCACTGATGGCCAGGGTCGATTGCTTCATAACTATTGCGCTTTTTGATGTGGGTAATTTGAATTTGGCAAAACCACGTGTTTAACTATGCATTCAGCAAATAAGACCAAATTAATTTACTTCAACGAACGACAGATTATCGTTTATTCATACACTTGAAATTCTAATCTGGCTAATTCGAGTAAAGTTAAGTGGAGCGTTTTTTGCCTCACTGATCTCTAGGATTTAACTCGTAATTGACCATTTTGTCCCATTGTCGGATTTAAATATTTGCTCCACGGTTTTTGTAAATTAGGAACGAATAAGTTTGAGACCTAACTATGTTAAGAGCATGCCGTAAGTGACTTAGAGGTAGTTGGTTCAATTAAAGTTTAGCAGTTTTTATGTGAATTTGAGTAGACAACTTTTTGGACTATGAAAGTGCATAAATTACTTGCCTTGGTCAACCAGAAAATTTGGACTATCCACAAGCATTCACAACTACATCACGGTAGCAGCTTTAAAACGTCTAAATTAAATAAAATTCAGCATTTTGAATATGGTGGGTTTATATCTCTCACTATCACTATGGCTGCTAACATGGTCTCATATCTTTCCGTTGAGGCTTGGGATTCAAAAAGTTTATTTTCAAAATTATTTTGGTCATATTTAAACCGACAGAGATTCGCTGCATATTGCACTGTGGTGCACAATCAAATAATAAATTTTGGCTTTCTAGTTTCATAGGTGCTAAATAAGACCAACTTAGCATCCTCATTGCATTATGCAATTTGAATCTAAGACCGTTTATACGCAGCTCATAGGAGTCAAAACATACATTATTAAGAAATTTCGACTTTTTTTTCCATTCCAGTTAAAATAATAATTTACATATTCAATAATTTTAGAGATTTATCCTATTCAGATTTAAATCTAATATATTCAAAAAATACCACAAAACTAGTCATTTAAAAAGTTACCAAACCATGGCCTTTTCTCGAAGCATTTATTCTCAACTTTGTGAAAAGTTAGTTTGAGAGTTTTAAACCAAATTATTTGCTAGAAAAATTGGACTTATTTTGCATAATGTTTGGGTATTGTGCATTCGTGTACGATGTGGCCTTTCATTCATTTACCAGCAGTTGTTCACCTCGCTAAAAGCAAAGTGTCTGCCAGGAACGCAGACGTCACCAAAAGGAATTCGGAGGGTTCAGCCTTTTCTTGATTGGCCCACGTGGCCCGTTTTTTCAGCACACTGTCAGGCAGTAGCTTCCCGATTCTTGCTTTGGGGAAACATTGGCAAAGCAAACGACTCTTCTCATAGGCCAGATGCTCTTTTTCGCACTTTTCCATTTGTGTTTGGGCAAATCGGCAAGGCGAAATGCGCTTTCCAATATACCTTATATAGGCACTTATAGTTGTTGTGATTGCTACCTGTTGTAAGAAGTCAACAAGTTCACAAATGTAGGAGGTACTTTAATTTTTAAAATAAATTATAATGCCAGCAATGCTGGTTAATTAATTTCGATTGGTTTTTTATGTTATTATCTAAAGAAAAGGCTAGTGAAGTGAACGGCTTTGGTAGTGGTACTAAAATTTTCGAATAGTTGTGAATAAAGGTGCTAAAGAAGGAAGTAGAATTGCTGTTATATGTTCCCTTACCAACAGCGATCCATCTGAGCTTTTTTGCAAGTAGTTTTTTATGATTTAAAGAATACTTCATTAAGTGTAAGTGACTTTAGTAAAGTAGTAATTAGTAAGTTGCCATGACATCGAACGTAACAACCTTAAGCTCTGCTGGTTTTAACTTGAATCCTACAAAGTAAAGGTATCTTTTTTCGGTCTGCACTGTATGCTAGCGGACCAGAATACTTGTAACACCGAAAATTCACTACTGCGAGTTCCATGAACTATTCGGATATTTTACGGTAACTCGATCCAATCTTTAGACATATTATTTTCTCGAAAAACCTACAATACTCAAACCAAATAACCGCCTTTACTGTTCTTAGATATTTTAAAAGCACTGTTTTATTAGCAGGGATTTAATACTTTTCCTTAAATCCAGTTTTATTATAAACATAGTTTTATCTCACGAACACTGGTCAAGATATTATTATTCCAGACTTTCCTGGAGCTTATTTTGTATGCTGGGAAAAAAATGAGCATCAGTAGTGAATTGTGATTCCTGATTCATAAGTCTTATTTGCTGAACAAATGATAACCAAATTTTTGATTACCGTGTTTAAACTAATGCAGTCTGCATTAAATGCGTAAACTTAACATGTAATACTTATTGTCACAGTGATCAACTTAAAGAAATGACCTATGTCCTAGAATGACAAGTCTACGGACCGTAACTTAATTCCATGCGCGATTTGCGTGGTCAAACAAATATAAATTATATTTGGCACTACAAAAATCTCAACCTCGTGATTCTCAATGTTTTGTAGAGAACACACTGAACTAATTACCATGCATTTTAATTTGTCGTTGTCTTTATTTCACACCGCGACCATGCATCACCACAATAATAACGGCCACATCAACAACAACAACGGCTCATAAATTGAGAACAAATTAAGCAATCGATTGCAATAGATGTCCTAGGTGGAGTCCGTGAAACCCAATCATAAATGGATGTTTAGTTCACAAAAACATTGGTACCTCGGAACCAGCATTTCCAAAATGGCCATTTCTAAAGACAGCAATCAAGTTGCCAGAGTTTAAATTTTGCCGTGTGTAGCGTCAGCGGTCTGGAATTTTCGGTAGTATAAAACAAACTATTGAGATTGAGCACTGTGCTCCTGCTAAATTTTATTAGCCGGCGTCGAAAGCTCGTACAGAAGCAAAAATTGAAAAGAGATAGCACGAAAAAAAACAGAGCTTATCATTAACTGTTTGATTTCTTTGCCCTACTCTTCATAGTTGCATAAAAGAGGAAGTTTATGCTAAGGAATCGAATGCTCTTCTACTAATAGCCAAATTCTAACCTTTCTTTTTAAGTAAT